TCCACCCCAAGGTGTAGCAGCCAGTGTCAGGGCAGCATATTCTCATGGCTAGATCCTGAGCCTGTCATTAAATCTGTCTTTTGACCTTGGGCAAGTCACTTAACCTCAGTTTCCTCTGACTGTAAAATGTAGATAAAATATTCCCTGTCTCATGGCAGTGTTGGAAAGATTAACAGTTAGACATTGTTCTGAGAGCCTTGAATAAGAGCTGTGAGTGCATGCAGAGCACTGTTTCTATTGGATACTGCTTTCTCTTTCTACATACAGAAGGGCTGACTTTTAAACTGGCAAGAAGCCCAGGCCCGTGACTAGTGGTGTGCCCCATTTGAATGCACAATAACTACAGTTGCATGCGCAAATTGGGTATCCGTGCATGGAAACTGGACACACAGTTGTTTACAGAACAGAAGAGTTTCTCTCTCACGCTCGCTTGGAAAACTCAAGGACTCCATTTATTAAGCAGAAAAAGCAATGCCACCACCCATGCAATATCAGACAGTTTCTAGGCAGCATTTTAAACAGGTTAATAAGGTATAAAATCATTCCCTCCAGAGACTGTAAGGTGTGCACTTTAAATTGACCTGAGTTAAAATTTCACACTCGTTTTACAACTCTTGCAGACTGTCTTGGTTTAAATGTGCCAGAGGAGTCGTTTTAGGGAAGTTGAGAAGGGAAAAGATCTGCAGGTATTTTGTTTGACGTGTGTAAATCGGGACTGAAATAAATGGCATAAGTACAGTTTACCCTGAGATAAATTGGACTTGGCTGAGGATCTGGCATTCTTTATATATGAGCCCATAAACAAACCACAGTCAGGACAGCGCACACGCTGTGTGAAGCCTCAGGAGGGCTCCTTGGCCAGGGGTTGGGCTCTGTTACCCTCACGAAAGAGCCCTGGGAGGGCTGGGGGGACAGGAACAGCACCTGGCCAGTGCTGCATTGTGGGGATGTGCTGGTGAGCTGGGGGGATCCCAGTAGCAGCAACCTGTGCTGGGAAGAAGGGAGGCTGCTTACTCCCTCTGTGCATAGTCTGATGTCCAGGCATTTTCCAGGATCATAACTCCAAGAGAAAAAAGAAAACAAATATCATTAATAATGTGTCAGTGAGAGAAGAAGGAAGAGAGGATGAGGGCAGAGAGCCACTGGCTAGGACAGCATTATTTTTCTCACTAACTGAACTCCTTTTGCTACAAAAGCTAAACCTTCAAGCAGGGATATCTCACGTTTCTGTATTTTCTGCTTTCTCCCTGGCTGTTACTGAAGGTACCTAGAAGAGATGACAGCAAGACATCTGCTTTCCCGTGCCATACAGCTTTGTACAACCTTGCTCCAAAAGCAACTTGCTTACAGCCACCTTCCCATGCCCCACAGTCTGTGCTGTGGCCCTGTTAGCAGCAGGAGTCAATGTTCCTCTCACACCTCAGCACACTGGAAGGAGACAATATTCTGGGATGGCATCAGTCCTTGTTGCCTTATTTATGGTGAAGAAACCGGCTGCATAGGTCTCTCTTCAGGGTGGGTGAGCAGCATCAGCTTAGGATGTCCCCATCACTAAAGCTTATCTGCTTTAAGCAGTAATACACTAATTTACTACTGTGGTAGGAATGATTGAAATCTTTAGACATAATGGAGGAAGTTTAATAGGGTCTACTGAGAAACCCAGGTGTTTAGATCAGCTTAAAAATAATAACCTTCTCCCCTGCTGAGCACTTTCTTTTCACAATAAGCTCAGCTTTTATTCTTAACCATAAAGACTACCTCAGACAGGAAATTATTCACGTGATTGGTCTTTACAAGTAGCGGAGGGTTTAAATTCGGGGCTGGAGAGGTCATTAGTGGACAGCCATGTGATTAACCTTTGCTTGCCCGTTTCTTTCACACTTTGTTAACAGCTCCCATTATTGCCCTTCTGTGTCTCAAGGAAGTAGTTTATTGACAGTATTAAAAATACATAGCTACAAATTCCAAAGAGCTCATCCTCCTGTAAAACCTCCAGTAATTTCTAGTCAGATGATACACATTGAGCAGAGCCCCTCAACTTCTGGCCAAAGTGGATCCAGAAATAAATTCACCCGTTAACACTGGATCTGAGTCAACATGTTTGTTTTACACATTGCAGGACCTATTCTTGGGCCTGTCTCAGAAAGTTTTATACCGCAAAGAAAACCAAGATTTAATTAAACAGTAGCATTAGTGCTTGTCTTAACGTACCACAGATTAATAGGAGTCACACCACATGCTCAATATCTTTGAGTAGAGATGGGCATCCAAAGGACTTTGAAACCTTGATCAAAATGATGCAGCCTGTAACTTTCAGTGCTGTGTTTCAATTTGGAGATAGTTCATCTGCTACTTGCTTGTTTTCAACCCAAAAGAGCAGCCTTGAGTTTCTGTTCTGGACTGTGCTGGCTGTGCCCCGGGAGCTCTCAGTGCTCTGGGCGAGGGGCAGCCGGAGAGCAGCGCTCCTGACTGTGCTCGTACCGCGTGTGACACGGTCCCTCCCTCTAACACACAGACCCACAGGGTCTCGTGCACGGAAGGATCTCTTCCCACAGCCAAAGAAACAAGCCATGGAAAAAAAAACAACATCGAGGCAAAAGCAAAAAGTCGTGAAAGCGGAATAGAATGTGAATATAACTCTGAGTGGCAGCAGTTTGCACTGGTCTGGACTTTGTGAGTGTCCCGCATAAAATTCATAGCGAAGATTGCAACAAAAAAGTACTGCAGCAAAGGCTGGGGGCAGGGGAGAAGGGTGACTCTTTTACTTATTTATTTTGCATTGTTGTTGCAGGGTAAGTTCAAGAGGGAGGTGAAAGGGGGGAGGTGTTCAGTGGGGGCCTTTCCAAAGCAAAAGGGTCTTTTGGACAGAAAGAGAGTGTCAAGGCATTTTGACAGAAAGTGGCTGAATGTGTCTTTTCTAGTTAACTTCTGTGAACTGCTGGGCATTTCCGCACACAAAGGGGCACTTTCTTGGCAGCTGAGTAGGGAGGGCAGAAGTCAGAGAGGGCAGAAGAGGAAGAAAAAGGAGAACATCAGTTTATGAATGCAAAACTTACAGTAGAAATTTTTTTTTAAGTAGAACATGTACACTGAAGAAAGCCCCCGGGCAGCCATAACTTCCTCAGCTGGCGTTTATTTGGCAGAAAACCCAAACCTTAGTGAATTTACCAGCACTTCAGGAAGCATCCACCCACGACATCTGTCAGCCTGAGCTCAACCCAGCAGGATGCTGAGCCCCTTCAGTTCCTCTTGAAGTTGCTCAGTGTTGTGGTGCTCAGCACCTTGCAGGGATGAGGCCGTGGCTTAGGATGGCTACAGTCCCAGTTTGGACCTGAAGATCCAGGGGCTGTTCTTGGACAAGGTGAAGGCACGGAGATGAAAATTTAAAGATGTGTATGTGACCCTAGAGGTAGCTCAGGTACCAGTGGCCAGGTGTGTACATCACTTCTGGTATTCAGGCTGACTCAGATATCTCTGCACTACATTACAGGTCAGATATATCCTAAGAATTCAGTACTTCTTTTCTCCATTCATTATTCTACTTAGACTTTGAGGTTTTAAATTAAGTGGGAAAATTAAAGTACTTGACAGAAGTGAAATCAAAAGACATCTTTAAGGATTAGGAAAGCTTCCCTAAAGATAAACAACTAGTAAAGCCCTTTTTTTTTTAATCTTTAGTTTTACCTACATCTGACTATTTCTTAATTTATAACCCAAGCCAGACTAAGCCTTCCTTTATGATGGCTATACATCAGAAGTGAGACAAGATTTGGAATTCACTAGGAAAGAATTAAATGAAAAGATGTTCCAAGGGAAAGGTGAGATCAATCAGAGTGGTTTGTGCACGTCTCTAGAAATACCTGAGATGGAGCAGTGAGGAATTAAAAAGTTGTAAAAAAGCAGCAATGACAAGAATATTTGAAATAGAAACCTCAGCAGCAGCTTCTAATTGCTGGTACATAATTGTATTTATTCAGAGGGGAAAGGCCCCAAGGCAAAGGCGACTTGCAGTTTAGTTGGATCCGCAGACCCTTCTGGCATTGGCCACTTATGTCTAAACTGGTCAAAAGTAGCTTTGTGAGGAGAGTCACAACTGTATTTTGTGTTTTGATTTTCTCCTCGGAAGGAAGAACTACAGTTTAACCACACTTAATTAATCTTCAGTACTACTTAAGGGCTAAGGGGAATGGAGGCACAAAAGGCAGATAAGGACTCCTTAGAATGATTTTACTTTTGAAGATCTATACTTAGGAAGATCTATCTGTTTATCTGCATAAAAGCATTTTAGAAACAACATAGCAGAGGTGTTAGTGATTTTTCAACAGTGAAGTGCCTCTAAACAACACATTTTACTAATTTACCTGTACCTGGTTACAACCCTCTAATTAAAGCTGTGTCAGAGCTTCTATGTATTCTCAGTTTTCTGGAGTTTATCACTTGAGTTTAAAAATTACCTGCTGGCTAAAATTTGTCATACAAGGACTTACATAGGAGTATGTTTTAAATAATAGTAATAAAACCCCACTCTGACAGCTTTATAAGTTATTACAGTGTTTCAAAAAATGAAATCTGTCAGTTCAGGTTTTCTTAGGACCCCCTGGAAATGGTGCTGTCTGTTAAACAGCAGTCCGTGACATTTGGGGATTGTTGCTAAGTGTTGGGAGTAAAGCCAAGTACCTCAGCTGAGGCATGTTTCCAAAAGAAGTTATTGCAGGTGTGTTTTATTAACTCACCTCCCTGTGTATTTCTTCTGCATTTTAGGTCAGAACCTTCAAGGGCTGGGTGTCCCTGGTCTACTTATGTTTTATTCTGACTGTAGTACAAAGGCAGGGTCACCTTTGGACTAGCCCTTGTTGTGCTTTTGTTTTGTTTAGGAGGGGGGGGGTTGTTGGTTTTTTGGTTTGGTTTTTTTTTTTTTTTTTTTTTTTTGTGTGTGTTTTTTTTTTTTTACAGCATTAAAACCTGAAACTTGGCTGAACTTGAGATTATTGAGAGCTCTCAGCTAGAGTTGTTCTGCTGTGCACAGCTCCTTCTTCTTCCACAGCGGAGGTGTCAAGGTAGGAATATAGGCTGTACTTCCTTCCCCAATGTTGTACCAAACAATGCGTTAGAGCCACCCTGAATTTTGATCTGAGAACACATGTAGCATCCTTATTTTCCCTGTCCCATTTCTCCTGCACTGGGTGCCAGCCACCCTCTGGCTATCAGTTAATAGCAAGAGTAAAGCAAAGATTCGCTCTCTGCACAGTGCTCTGGATACAGCTCTTATGTGTGGTAAATACAGGACTTTTTGGTGTATCTTGTCGTAGGACTATCTTCTGTGATAACTCCCAGCTGTGCTCTTTCCTCGGACAAGCCCAGAGAGCTCACTGGGCATTGAGTGTGTTTTGGGGAAGCCTTGAGCTCCACGTTCTCTCCCCATAGTTGTCATTGCTCCCTCAGTAAGGAGAGATTCCACCTGCTGATGGCAACAGAGGTTGGTTCCTCACCGTCCTGAGACTCACCTTAACTACAACACCCTGGTGGCAGCAACACCTTTAATTCTGACCCCTGAGGCTGCTCAGTGTCTCTGACAGGCTTGGCGTTTGCTTGCAGGTTTTTTCTGTATTTTCACAGTCAGAAATCAGCGGGGGGCTTCAGTGACTGACAGTACTCACTTTTTGAGCCTGGTTTAGTTTGGCTGTATAGCCAGGGTATGTCTAAAAAGGTTGTTCTTTTTCCTCATATTGGCTAATGCGACTTCAAACACCCAGTCTGAGCAGGGGTTTGCAAATGCATTAAGATTTTATGGAAGGGAAAGGTCTTTTCAGACTGACTTTTAGGGCACTCCTTTAACTCCTGTTTAAATACAGCAAGACCTCATTTAATACTTTAGCAGTAGGCTCACAGCTGTACAAATGCTATCAGAGCCACCACAAAAACAGTTGCTTTTCTGCCACGACTTTGTAACTAAGCTTTCCCCTTGTAAGGTTGGCTTTGTTGTTCTTTTATTGTTTTTAAGTTCTGGTTTCTGTTACATTTGATACACCTGTTATAATTTGGAAGAGTAACTCAGGCTAGGAGTGTCCAAGTTGGGATCTGAGCTTTGCCACAAGCTGGTGTGAGAGAGGAATTCTCTTCAACCACCTGTGTCTCCCTTAATCTTGCTGTGAAAGTGGTCTGACAGTACTTTCCCCTTCCCCATTTAACTGAAAGCTTTTAGAAGGATAATCTTCTTACTGTTTTGATGGGGTGGCTTGTTTGATTGGTTTTTTTGACTGATAGTTTTTGCTATAATGCCAACATTAAGTAATGAGAAATTAGTAAAACAGTACTCCTTCCCACCCTGTATGTGGTACACCATATCAGAGTGCCAAGAGGTTTTTTTATGAGAAGAGCTAAACAAGCCCCTACACTTCTGCATGGGGAATGGCCACAAAGAAGGGAGGAAAGACAAGATGAATTATTCTGGCAGTCTTTTATTTTGCAATTCCAAGTCAAATGGCTTGTATGAACTTGCTAGCCAAGGGGAGAAGAGGTGCCAGTGAAGTTTTAACACCACAGTGTTAACACAATTTTATTTCTTTCTTTTCCTCTCTATCCATTTCTGTCCTGGAAGTCATATTTACAAGTGTATTCTGTGGCATTGCTGTCTGATGTTTATATGAGATCTTTGTGTGTTTCTACTTAATGTTGAATTTTAATTGCATTTTTTAACATCTTCAGAAAAATCTTTCCTATAACTGGAATGTCAAAATATCAAATCAAGATGAGCAGGGTCTCTGTGTTTCATCCTGGGAAGCCCATGCCTTGGGTTCAATGGGACATCTCCTCTCCAAGCACTGCCTACATCAACTGGCACTGCCAGAGGCTTGGCTGCCTTTTCCACAGTGCTTTTTCAGGGTGTTTGGTACTCAGACTGCCAGCACAAAAGCTGATTCAGACCAGCTTGATGCTCAGGTATACTGAGAACTAAACCACAGGCAGATACCATCAAAACACATTTCACTTGTGACCTTTCACAGCCAATGAATTGGAGGGATTTTCCTCTGCTGTGGATCAAATTTAAAACTACTTCCCAGGAGTGAAAGGTCATCGTGTGGAGTCATGATATCCAGTTAAATACAGCTAAATAGAACTCGTTAGCATCACAATGAATGGAGTTATATATTACCTGGTCTGGAGGATGGCTGGGGTGGGTGGGGTAGCAAAGGAATAGATCCCTCATCACCCTTAATAAAGCAGCATAATAGCAGAGAAAAAGCACAAAGAGCAGAATTTGACTAAATCTGCCCTTTAAACCTGTTTCTCCTGGCCAGCAATGTGAATGGTCAGAAAAACATGGGAAATGTCACATAAAGGATGTATTCTCCTCTTGCCATGTTTGCATTCACAGGAGCTACAGTTCCATCCAAGTGAGAATATTCTATATACCAGCTCCCGGCGGGGCTTTGATCTCCAGATACAGCCTGCTCTGAGGAAAAAGGAAATCCAGTGATCTTGTGTCTGAAATTAGATTCCCCCAGGGGGGCAAGCTGCACTATCTGATTGGCAGAAGGACTTCACATATAAGTGGATCCATGACATCTTTTATCCTGCCAAGCCATCTCCCTTATGGGGAATATTTCTTGCTCTCCAGCCCTTTCCTAATGATTGTTATTTCAGCCTTTCTGTTTCTGGTCATACTTCATTTTTCTTCAGTCCAAGTGTGAAGCTGCATGGCTCTTTCCTCAGCATTGGCAGCAGGTCAGGGGATGTGAAATGGGTGCAGGAGGCTTTGGGATCTTTGAAGAGGCTGTCTCAAATGGGGAGGATCCCCACACAAAACTTAGCGGCCTCTGAAGTGAATAGCTCAGAGTCAATCATTTACCTTGGTGATCTGGCTTTTTTTTTTCTCCCTCCCCTACTTGGCATGCTTGGGTCTTTGTATTCTGCTTCTCTATTTTCTAGGGGAGGGAAGGGTGGATGAGATCAAAGAGAAGGATCAGCTCCTTTGTTTATATTAAATAAAGCACTGTTTGAATTCTCTTAACCTTTTTTACAAGTGGCTCCTTCGCTTATATATATTGCTTTGACTTTTCTGTAGTTATTCAAGGCTTAATGTTCACAATAGGCAAGCAAGTTACTGTCATTAGTAGTCAAATAGAGCTGGGCATCTGCAGAGGTTCTTTTGCTGTTTAGCTCAGAGGGGATCATAGGGATCTCTGCTCTAGTGTCCAGTAAAACTGGATGCTGGGGCTGCTGCACTCAAAAAACCTAACCCAGCTAGCACATCCCTGAGGACAGGCATCTCTTCTTGATATACAGCCTTCAAGCCATGGATGAGCTGTCATTTTGCCATCCTAGATGGTACTGGATTTCTTCTCTGGCTGGTTAAAGCAGGACTCAAGGTGCAGAAACTGTTTAAAGAAATAAATCAGATTTTACTTGTCTTGGAGCTACAATATTCCCAATATTCCCCCACTCCTGCTGCCCCTCAGCACTAGGTGCATCAGTCTGCTGCAAGGCAGGAACCAAGGCAGACATTGCTCTGAACAAAACCAATTTTTTCCAAGTCATCTGAGTATGTCAGTAAGTTAGTGAGTTTTGCTCCCTGCTGAAACTACTGGAGATGCCACGAGTGTGATCCTGCACATGGCAGTGCCTCTGACAGCTGTTCAGAAAGTGTGACTGCATTTGAAGAAGCAGCAGAATTATGCCATAAAGCTGAGAAAAACTGAGGACCTTCACTCTCCTCCAAGGGATGCTTTTTAATTTCTTGCCCCAAGTATGATATACCAGTCATACCTGAAAGCAGTAAGTTCTGGCAGCTGAAAGCGAGCCCATAGGCCAAATGGGAAGGAGCAATACAGAAAGAGGATCAGAAAGGATAGTTCACATTTATTCATGTTAAACCAGAGATGAGCCATAATGGGTGTAAATTATTTTGTTAATGTACTCAAAAAAAACAAAATTTATTCCTAGCAGTGTCCCTGTCAAAGCACTTCCAGTGATTGACTGAAGGGGTCTTGATGGAGGATGGTCCCAGGAGAAGTCTGGAATATTTACTTTTCTCTCTCTCTTTTTTTTTTTTTTTTTTTTTTTTTTTGAATAAAACTTCAGTTTTAATGACTTCCAATAAACCTGCCATCCATGTACTGGAAATACCTCAAAATTTCCACCCCTGCCTAAGGCAAGCTCCACTGGAGTTAGGCAGTGCTGATTTACACCAGCTGAGGTGCCTGAATTTATTTTATTTTATTTTATTTTTATAGGGGTTTTTTGTCCTTGGTTATAAAACTTTTACTAGCTGGAAGAGATCACATTCCATTCGGGAGCTCACTTTATGCTCTTCAGGTAGGAAATCATCACCTTGGTGCAGACAAGTTTCAGCATTTCGGGGTTGAGAAAGGGGGGGCAGGGAAGGGGAGCAGATTTATACTTCCTAAATGAAGCACTTCACATGGATGGGGAAATGCCTCCAGCAGAAGCAGGCAGAGGGAGCCTGTTCTGTAAGGAACATCTGGAAATGGAGACACGCATATTGCTTTTCTTCATCCTCCCAGAGCTGCAGGGATATTGTGGCCTGAAAGACCACTCCTGCTCTGACTCTGAGCTCTCCCCAGCCTTTACAGCCTCCTCCTTTCCCACAGGCTTAACCTGATGGCCATGGGCATTTCCCAGGCTAAGGCTGCCCGAACACGTAACACGATACAGTGATCTGTCATCTTCTGCAGAGTAATCGGCCACTTCTCTCTACCCCTATTTTTTAATGAGGAAATGATTTTTTTCCCCCCTGCTTTTAATGGAATATCTCTTTTTGAATTTATGGAAAGTCTGTGTACCTCTGAGCCACTGCTGAGTGATTCTATCAGTTGGGTTTATCTTAGAATTATGCTGCACTTTTGTGGTTTCTAAGGCAACCACATTTTTGAATGAACTGCAGAGTAAATGAAGGTATCCAAAATATGTGACAGAGCAACCTACATGATGTGCCTTTCACGTACTAAGTAACATGCTTGCAGCAGTTCAACTCCAAACATTTCAGGCTAAATGGTATCTTGAGCCTTATTTATATCAGTCACAAATCTGATTCTTG